TGGCCACCAAACTCATGGTATTCTTGAAGCTGGAACTTGTCACTAAGGAGAGGAAATAGTTTCCATAAGGAGATAGAAAGAAAATTGAATACCTGTTACTGTTTGAAAAATAAAATTAACGATGAAATCATCTAATTTTCGACAACACTAAACCGACGGATAAAAATAGATCCAGGGGAATTATTGATTTGTGTCGAATCGGACCCGGCATCGTTTAGCATATTCAGCACCCATTTCAACCTGAGAGCACACACATTCCGTCCACAAATCAACGTTAAAGATGAAACATTAAAATGGCGTACTTGAAGCAATGACTTCAGCGATGAATGGCGTATAATAATGGAAGATGTTCCGGACCAGCCTCGCATTTTTAAGGATTGCTATGCGAATTCCACGTGCAAAAGATTGAAAGATTTTACATCCTGAAATACTCTATTGTAAACCGATTGGCCGGAAGGTTAGTTGAGAATTGCAAAAATGGTGTTGCTATTGATGCATGCCAGACAGCTGATTTCCGCTCATATCCATACTATTGGACATTTTAAAACATCTGCAACAGCAACTTAGAGGACACTATCCAGCCTGATTGCAAAGCGGTATGATTAGAAACATGAGAAGTGCAAATAGTTGCCATTTATAAGGACCAAACCCAAGTATCCGCCAGATGCTTCTCTTTGCTGCATCTGTGAATACAACAAACAAAAGATATTTGTCGGTAACGCGCATCCAAAATCACTGATGAAATAAGCTGGATTCTTAAAAATCCAATTATACCAAGATACTATAGCTTATTAGTTATAATTTACAAAATCGCGGAGCTCCGGGTTTCAATTATGGTTTCTGCCTCGAAGGGAAGGAAGTTGGGTGTGTTAGAATAGCCGATGTGTGTTACTACGACAAAGAAGGATTTGTGGAATATTCACGAACATCAATCAAATAGGATTTGCTGGTAAATTGACAATACGAAAGCAAATTAATTCTGTGAATAATAGCTCAGACAATCCTGTCCTCTAACTCACCGCTTTGACGTGACTTAAGCTGACCTTGGTCGGGTGGAACAGCAGGATTGTGACCGAAAAATTTGAAATTTCGACGACGACGAAACACAGGCGAGGACGGTGCTGAGGTAGATTCCAGCATGTTACTGCTTGCAAATGCGAGTGAATCGCTCGACATGAACCATTTAGGGTCATTGCTTGGAGTAATTGGAACAGGAATAGCTTGGTCTGGTTGACAAGAAGCGCCTGCAGCCGCAGCCGCACCAACAAAATTACTGGGTCGTTGTATCACAGATGACCGGGAGGTGCGGTGGGTACCAGATCCAAGGGATATGGGTATCGGGGCCGCGGTGGCGTTTGCGTACAGTTGTGAGGGAGGAGACAATAAACAACCGGGGGAAATATTCCACCATGGCGTGGAATCAACCGGGATCAGAGAAGCGCTGAGAATCTGAAATAACGACAAAAAACAAACTCTTACATATATTTTACCTGATGTATATGTTTGACACAATTAGGGGGATTAGAGAAAAATAAAACTATAATCTTGTGTGTGAGTGGCCCACGAAGTTCAGTTGACAGATAGAGATATTTGAAGCCACACGATCCATCGCGTAGAAAGAGAGGTAAAATGTTTAACTTTATATTCTTGCAGTTGAGCAAAGAGAAGTGTCATTTGATAACATAGTGAAACTCATCAACAACCTAGTGACAATAGGCAACATTGTAGGCTTTGAAATATTTGCATTCAGTCAATTTTTGAACAATACAACGGAGAACAAATAAGTAAAAAAATCATCACATTTATCTTTAAAGCAAAAGTTAATCGATTTGCACTGGAATGGAATAATTTACGAATTATAATGAAGATAACTTATTCCCGCGCCCAGGTGAATCAGCATATACCAACTAAAATGCAATCTTCAATCAAAGAATTAGCCCCACTAAAATCACTTCTGCATCAATTTTCCATCTGAACTGAATATCAACTCTTTTCTGCCCCATCCACCGTTGACTCAATACTAACCTTATTAGTCTTTCATCCCCCAACCCGATGTTTGCTTGTTTGTTCAACATCTGTTAGTGCTCCGATTACCCAAGCTATCTGGAAATTCAGAATTGATCATTTTTAAATTTTGCCACCATGTTACCTGTATCCCGCATTTTATCTCGATAGTTCTCTCAGCACTTTCACCGCCGTGTCTGCCCCTTCATTAGTTTTCGAACGAATGGGAAGCCGAAAGACAGCATTTAAAAACAGTGGACGAAATCGAAAAGTTTACGATTGATCGAAACTGAATTGTTGTGAGATATCCCGAACTATTCCTGTGGTTCAATGAACACATTTCACAATATGACTCTAATTCTCACATGACCAATACAAAAACTTTCCAACAGGTAGTGCAATGGACGCCACTGGTATTGGTGAATAACCTCCTTCAAGCGGACACTTTTTCTTATGGTTTAGCTTCAACAGAATAAGTTCATTTTGTGGGTTTTCAATAATTTTTCATGGAACTATCATTTTGATAGTTTTGTTACAGAAAATTTCATATGACGCCATTTTACTCCAGTTCAACAAAAGAAACAATGGCAATGTTCCCGGTGATTCTTTCATTCTATATCAACGGTGTGTGATAGCAGCATGAAAAAATGACGGACCGTACCAATAAATATTCTTTACCTTTTATTGCTTCAGTCGGGTGTAGTCTTACCTGTAATTTATACAACGTCCGAAAGGGAGTGGACTTGAGCAGAGTAGATGGACTGCAGAGAAGACTTTGTTGCAACTGGTTTCCGGTCCGCGACAGCGTAGCTGCAGGACAAGTTGGTAATGTTGCAAGTAACAAACGGATTGGGTGAATTAGGCTAAACGACGAAGATAGAGATACACCCGTGGTGGTCTGAATCCCACCACCACCAACCACGTTTTTGCTCTTTTTGCTCTCCGTTGCAGGAAACATTGGCGTTTGGACAAGTTCAGCTTCGGCTAGTTCGATCAGCAATTCGTACACACTCAGGTCTTCTCCCAAACACAGACTGGGTAGACTGCTCGTGGTTATCGGGGTTGTGGTGGGGTTATTCATAGACGGCAGTTCCGTATTGGATCCAGTTAAACCGCTAACTGAAGAGTTTTGGTTGGAGTTCAGACTAACCATGGAAGAACCTCGCGCCAGCTGCGCGCTGCTCGAAGCGGCGCTTGTGTTCCCTCCTAGGTTGGCGGCGACAGACATAGATTCATTCGGACGGGTGAATAACTGATCTAAATTGCCACTGCTTATTAGCCTATCCGAATCTTCCGTGCCCGCATGCAAAGCAGCAGCAGCTCTTGCAACCAGATCAGCTTCAGAAGCATTACCCTGATTGATCATGGATGCCATACTGGGAGAGGCAGAGCATATCGACAAGTTCAAAGCGGAAGCTCCCACAGTCGAAACAGTGCTCAGTCGGTCGTTGCGTGCACCAGTTCGGCCACCCAGAGCTCCAATCAAACGAACAGTCAGCTGACGTCCATTCTAAAAAACGAATAATAATTACTGGTGGTGAGATACAGGATTGCGAGAGCCAATTAAATGAAACTCGTTTTTCACACCCCACTCGGCTACTTGTAAGTAGTAACAGAATGAAAATACAACTTGGCAGACATCGGAAGAGAGGCTGTTATAATATCCATACCAAACTTTGTCATGAAATAAAGTTTTACTTACAGTTTCGGACAGGAATGAAATTTTTTTTACCATGACAACTACTAACTATGCTGCCTCTCGAAATAGAAAAGAAAAGCATAATTGAAAATCAAAATTCACATGGCGATCGTTTAGCAGCAGTTGTACGCTTAACAGTTGTTTTTAATCTAACTGGAGGCTGTGAAGAATCTTATTGATTTCATTGTCATGTTGTGATAAGCTATAAGTCAATCCTATATACTACAGACCTAAACCTATAGTAACGATGGAAAGAAATGAATAAACGAGCACTCCTTCTATAGTTGTGCCATTTGGTCAGTATTGATAGAATATCTGGAAGCGTAGAACTCACATTAATCAAGAGCACAAGACTACTGGTAATCAGGAAATCAAGAATAGAAGAAACCTGGATGCAGAATATTCGTATTTTAGTACTTAATGTCATGAGGAATCAAAATACAGATATTTTACGTGCAAACTCTGTACATCATGTGCTTCGCTTCCTCTATGTACAGCTATACTAAAAAACTATCTTGAAATCACTAGTGCTGGCGTTCAATTAGATGAAGTTAATAGCTTTTTTTATTAACTTAAGATATTATATTGGACACAACAATCACTACTATCGTTGATCCAATCACATTATTCAATTTTCACTGTTGGCAGAGGCACAGTCCAAAATATTCCCCTGTATGACTCAGTGACCTGTTCTCTTCACGGTAAGGATGCTCGACAGCTTTCTGTATACAACTATCACTAACCTCGAGATTATACCTGTTTCTGATGACGAAATCTGATGTAAACTGAGTACCTCTAGCTATCATGCAACCATGGTTATTTTAATGTAACCCCTCTTTTGGCTTAGTGATATACCAAAGATGTCTTTCTATTACGCTTATAACTACAATTGTTTGCTATCTCCAGACCCAACTGGAAAAAGTGTCTTAGTAATTGGTCAACAATGTGGAGCAGAGACATGAAAACGTGAATCGTAGCATCGTTCTCAGTTGATCTCATCTGACTGCCTGGTTGTTGCCCGTGGGATGATAACGTTCTGTGGGTGGAAACTCAAAGAGATATGATAGAAAACAGTTTGGAAGTCCGTTTGCAAACTTTCATTGGTCGCAAACACTGATGCGATTTACAGTTAAGAATTGTGGAGGTTTTGTCGATCGCTTACATTAAGCTAATCCCGAGCGTAAAAACGTTTGATACTGCCTCTCAATCTGCATTGGCTTTATCCAATCGCCATTTGTCTCCGTTTGAGATATTTACATCATTATAGCTTATCGTTTTTCTTGTTGTCATTTGCAGCTGATGTGTTGACGAAAGGATTTTCTCCAGGAACATGTAAATCACTTCAGATCTGTTCACGTTTGCCATGGGATATCCATTTTCTAAGGTATATAACCTGGGATTGGAGCTAGTGCTGCAAGATCACTGTGTGTATCTGAGACCGTCATGCAAAGTGTAGAATAAAAACAACAAAAATCACTGCTTCACCATTTTGACGTCTTTGCATACACGTTCAGCAACTGTTGTCATTTTATATACAACGTTATCACCGTTCCTATTTCGGACTGGTTGCAATATA